AAGTGGCCCAAGGCGGGGGGGAACACAGAGCACAGGGTGCTGTGGGGTTTGGGGGTGTCCCGGGGGGGTGTCCCCATGCTGCTGGCCCCTGCAGGACCTGTGACCCTCCTGGCTTGGGTGTCTCCTGCCCCACAACCCCCAGGGCTGGTGACACAGAATTGGGATGTGCCTCACCCATTGTCATAGAATCCCAGAATGGTTTGTATTGGAAGGGACCTTAAAGCTCCTCCAGCTCCAACCCGTCCCAGCCCGGGGCAGGGACACCTTCCACTAGAGCAGGTTGCTCCAAGCCCCTGTGTCCAACCTGGCCTTGAACACTGCCAGGGATGGGGCAGCCACAGCTTCTCTGGGCACCCTGTGCCAGCGCCTCAGCACCCTCACAGGGAAGAGCTTCTGCCTCAGATCCAGCCTGAACTTCCCCTGTTTCAGTTTGAACCCATCACCCCTTGTCCTGTCACTCCAGTCCCTGATGAAGGTCCCTCTCCAGCATCCTTGGAGCCCCCTTCAGACACTGGAAGCTGCTCTGAGGTCTTTCCTCTCCAGGCTGACACTCCTCAGCATGGCAGGGGAACATGAGGGGGGATTTAGATGTAGGTATATATTTGTGTGCCCTTTCCCAGCTCTGCTGAGCATCAGCTCTTATTCTTAGCACCAACTCACTCTATTTATAGACCTCAAGGTAATTTTTCCTCATTAGTAAGGCCACACATTCCACTCAGGCCTTGCAGGGGATCTGCCCCTGACCTGGAGCTCCTCTGTGGTGGGGGTGGGATGAGAGGAAGGAAAATATGGTCCTTAAGGCCTCTTCCAGGAGGGATCTGCTGACGCTGCTGTTCCACTGGCAGCTCTGTGACACCTTGTGTAGGAACAGCTTTTCTACACTGACATGTGCCTAAACCACGAGGCTCGAACCCCCTTTGATGCTCCCTTTTGTTGGGTTTCCTCACCCCTGGGGCTCAGTGAGTGCAGACCCACCCGAACTGACACAGATCTGTTATCTAGAAGGCTTTCTTAGGAGACCAGAGCACTGGGTGGTGGCTTGGCAGAGGCTGGGTCCTGACTCAACGACAAAGCTGGGGCCACCTCAGAGCCTCCTTGTTGTATCTTTGAAGAAGATACATGGAGCTGGTGCAGGGCCTGGAGCACAAATGTGATGAGGAAGGGCTGAGGGACCTGGGGGTTTAGTGTGGAGAAGAGAAGGCTCAGGGGGGACCTTCTCGCTCTCTGCAACTGCCTGACAGGAGGATGGAGCCAGGAGGGGGCTGGTCTCTGCTCCCAAGGAACAAGGGATGGCACAAGAGGAACTGGCCTCAAGCTGCCCCAGGGCAGGTTTAGGTGGAGCTGAGGAACAATTCCTTGCCCAGAGGGTGCTCAGGCATTGGAACAGGCTGCCCAGGGCAGGGCTGGAGTCACCATCCCTGCAAGTGTTCACAGCCCGGGTAGCCGAGGCCTCAGTGCCAGGGGTTAGTGGTGGCCTTGGCAGGGCTGGGAATGGTTGGGCTGGATGAGCTGAAAGGTCTTTTCCCACCTAAATGGTTCTGTGGTTCTGTGCTTTGTGGTTGTTGCTGGTGGTGGCTGTTCTGGGCCTCATGAGTGACCCTCAGAGACTGCTCTGAAGATAGGAAATAAAATCAGCTTTTTATTAGATAAGGCTCCAAACCCAATAATTTAAACATCCGGTTTGGCACCTAAAAAAGAGCAGAAAGGGTCAAAATGTGTCTGAAGAGCAGAAGTGAGGTGTGTGAAGGTTCTGTCAGTGGGTCTGTGCTCCAGACCCGTATTGAGCTTGGACCAAACTCCCGTGAGATTACTTTCGTTACTGACTTCCATGAGGACTGAGGGAGATATTTAAGTTTCTCCTTCCAGCATCAGTTACGTGAGTTGTGGTTTGTGTGCAGTGATCCTCATTGCAGCACGAGGTAAAGCAGAGCTGTGATGCAGTCAAATTCCTGTGGGATTGGGGATGAACAGATCCCCAGTGTGTTGGGACCGATGCTGTCAAACTCCCCTGGGACTAGGGATGAACAGATCACTGATCTGCTGGGATTAATGCTGTCAAATTCCTGTGGGATTGGGGATGAACAGGTCCTCAATGTCTTGGGACTGATGCTGTCAAACTCCTGTGGGATTGGGAGTGAACAGACATTGTCTTCTCCTCCTTAGGTCTCATCAATGACCACAAAAATGCGCACGGGGACGTGCCGCGGCCGCTGCCATCCCTCCCACCGAGGTGGAACCCCCCCCGGCAGCCTCCCTT